TCTCCGAATGTACTCGTTAGAAAGACAACGGGAGAGATATCAAATAATATACAGGTGGAAAATAATGGAGGGCCAGGTCCCAAATCTGCACAGTAAAATAACAACATACTGGAGTGAACAATATGGAAAAAAATGCAGAATAGAACCAGTGAAGAGCAGGGGTGTCATTGGCACAATTAGAGAGAACTGTATAAACATCAGAGGTCCACAGTTGTTCAACATACTCCCAGCGAGCATAAGAAATATTTCCGGAACAACCGTGGACATCTTCAAGAGGAAACTAGATAGTTTCCTCCAAGGAGTGCCGGACCAACCGAGCTGTGGTGGGTATGTGGGCCTGGGGCCGCTGCAAGCAACAGCCTAGTGGACCAAACTCTCACAAGTCAGGCCGGGCTTGGGGAGTAGAACAACTCTCAGAACCCCATCAACCAGGTACCAGGTACCTTCACCTCATCCTCAGGTATACATGATGCAGCAAGAAACTTTGTAATCATTTGAACTCTGCCCTTCACAATGTTAACACTATCGCTCGCTTTGGACACTGATCACGTCACTTTTTTTCTCCCGAGTCCAAGCCGTTGACAAGACTAGTGTCCCCTCCAAAAATATTTGTATAAAATTAATTTTTTATCCGATCGACCTCGGGATAATTTCAAAATAAGCACCTTTAGAATGCGCACAATTTGATACCAAAATGAAAGATGTAACACGAAACTTGATGTCAGAATACTTGAAAGATTATAAATACATTTTTGGGTCTAAATTTTAAAATATTTGTTAAAATTCTATTTATTGTGCTATTATTATGGGACTAGTTTTAAAATGCGTGCCTTTAGATTGCAAACAATTTGATACCAAACCAAGCGACGTAACACGAAAATTGATGTCAGAACACTGGAAAGATATAAATAATTGTGATGAAGAGCATCCAAAATTAAAATGTTAAAATTCCAGTTATTGCTCTATTATTATGAGACTAGTTTTAAAATGCGCGCCTTTATATTGCGAACAATTTGATACCAAAACGAGCGATGTAACACGAAAATTGATGTTATCAAACTGAACAAGTACACACATTAGGTTGTGGTATGCAAATTGGTGCTCGTTCACGGGTAACTTTAGCCTTTGCTGCGGGGAGTCTCGCCAGGCTTTTGGACATTATATGCATATACACCTGCAGGGAATTTAATTGCGAACACAATGTTACCAAAACGAACGACGTAGCACGAGAATTAAGGTGAGAAAACTGAAACGAGTATACACATTTTACTGATTTTGTGCACTCACGGGTAACTTTTCCGACTTTAGGCTTTGCTGTGGGGAGTCTCACCAGGCTTTTGGACATTATATGCATATACACCTACAGGGAATTTAATTGCGAGCACAATGATACCAAAACGAACGGCATAGCATGAGAATTAAGGTGAGAAAACTGAAACGAGTATACACATTTAGGTGTCGTCGCACGCTCGCCCGCCCTATGACATCAAAGTCTGCAGCGCTCACACGCCACGCTCGATGGTGCTAAGAAGAATTACCGAAAACCATCTTTTAGTGTCAGGTCAAATAAAACTGTAAAAATGAACTTTGGAAAGTTAATTTTTCAACTTTCTTCTGCAGTGAAGAAAAATTAAAGTAAAATAGAGAAGATTTGTGCTAGAATCACTGATCTCACCCTTTCAGTCACATTCAATAATATGTACTGTATATGCCTATAGTACAACAAACACAACTGCCTGTACGTTTCAACCACAGAAACCAGGTACTGGACAATATTCTATCTTCAAACCAACTTAAAACCACCTACATTTTTGTCAAACTATGCAACCATGCACATTAGAACAAAATTTTAATGTGCAATACTTGGCAAGAAACAAGTCATTGAACATTAGGGTTGTTTATGTCAGTGACTGTCGGTATGCTTATGTCAATGTCTGCGCATTTGAAGGCTGGACCTGCAAGTGTGAAGCACTTGCTAGACTAGTGCACAACACTGTTTAAAGGAGAGTACACATAATATAGATCATACTACACATGTTTGTACTGGTTAAATTATTTACATTTTTATAATCTGATTTGAACAACATATCTTGAGAGGATGGACACTTACATTATATTATGTTTGCACTTGTTAAAGGTCACATACTACTGTACCTGAACAACTGTACTATTTTCAGCAAAGCTGCATCTCTTCACATAAAGCAGCTGCTGCCAACTTCAATATAAAGTACTGTAGAATAATATATACAATACAGTATTTAAAGAAGCACCTGAGGAGATATCTTTCGTACAATAGTTGATAATCTTAGAAATTTATTTAAACTGGCCAAGCATACTAAATGAGACACTTTATGTTTGCATTGTTTTATACTATAACAAAACTGCAGTGACAAATTCCATATTTGTCAACAGTAACAATATCACACAGAGTTCCCTTGAGGTGGTTCTGAGGATCAATGTTCATCGCCTGGTCTCTGACCACGCCACCTGGCTGCTGACCTGGATAACCACACTATTAACACACTGCTGCTTGCAGTCTGACATGACTGACAGCCTGGTTGATCAGGTATCCTTTGGAGGTGTTAATTAAGTTACCTATTGAACAATGAGAGTTGTTAACTGCTTATGCCCCTTGAGTACGGAGGGTGTTGAACCCTTAATATCTACAAAATTTTCCTACCATACTCACTGTGCTATTACTTTTCAAAGAGATCATTACTGTATAACCATTCTATTATGCCTTTTAGTCTCATATGAAATTACTTGTGTGAGTAGATTTGGACATATACCCTCTAATATTTCCCATGTAAATTACTATTTCTGCCTGCATTCCAAGAGTACAGATTGATAGATGTTAAGTGTTCCAACTATTTAATGTTTTATTGAATAGATTCGGGTAGTAAAAGTTCTCTGCATGGTCTCCAGATCAGCAACTTCTCCAACTCTGAATGGGGATATAATGTGCAAAAGTATTCCACCCTAGAAAGCCTTAGTTTCTTATAAAGTACCATTATTGGTTTGATATTTTTTTGCTTGAAATGTTCTTGTTATCCAACCTGTCAGTTTTCTTACAGTCGAGACATACTTGAGTGTGTTGTTTAAAAATGTGGTCTTCCCTAGTGATACTCTCTCAGGTCTTTTTATGTTGTTTTCCTTTCTATAAAGTGATCTGATGGCATATAAAGTTCCAGCTTTTGTTCATTTTTTATCATAATACAGGAGTTGTATGTGGCCCATTTAAAGATCTGAATTACATCAGATTGGACATTTGCCATGTCCTCTACAGTTTCTAATAAAATGCCTAGTGTTATCTGCAAAGGATGATAAAAATACTGTACTATAATTTGCATCCTTGTTTATGTTTGATATGAGAGTACTGGAGCAAGAACAGCACCCTGAGAGAATGAGCTTTTCACAATAGACGATTCAGATTTCATTCTGTTGACTATTACTCTTTGGGTTCTGTTTGTTAGTAAATTAAATATCTATCATCCCAATTTACCAGTTATTCCTTTCATATACATTGTGTGTGTTATTTTGAGGTTATTTTGAGTTGATTTCGGGGTTTTAGTGTCCCCGCGGCCCGGTCCTCGACCAGGCCTCCACCCCCAGGAAGCAGCCCGTGACAGCTGACTAACTCCCAGGTACCTATTTACTGCTAGGTAACAGGGGCATAGGGTGAAAGAAACTCTGCCCATTGTTTCTCGCCGGCGCCTGGGATCGAACCCAGGACCACAGGATCACAAGTCCAGCGTGCTGTCCGCTCGGCCGACCGGCTCCCTAAACTGACTGTGTGCAATTAAACCATAATCATGTTTGCCAAAAGTTTACACGATGTCAGCATATACTAATTACATCACCGATTTTCTTGAGATCTTGAGATGATCTCGTCTTCCATAACATCCAAACCAGTGCCATAGTGGTCTAGCAATTGTGTGAAGCAGGAGCATCCTGCTCTAAACCCATGCTGACCAGATTTATGAAGACATTGTGACTATTTGTATTGTGATCTTACTTTTTAGCATTCTTTTCAAAAGATTATGATGCATGATGTTTGGAACAGGTATCTGCCACTAAAACATGATAGTCATTCAATGTTGGTACTACTGTATTGTCAAACTACAAAATGTAAAGGCTTAGTTTAATAACATTTAGGCTCGGCTACAACCCAGTTGACTTTTTAACCCTCAAACTGTAGTTATCATATAACAATGGTCCAGTGCAGTGTGGTCATCATCATATAATAATTTATGCCGTGTGTAAACCTTTGAAAACAAATGTTACCCATACAGTTCAATAGCCCAATGGTGTTCACAGTCATGGGAGGCCACAAAATAATTCAGAGTTTGCACGATTCAACTCTCGATTTCCCAACATCAAATGATTACCATATAACTTACCTGGGGCCAACAAAGATCTTCACTACATATGACTGTTTTAAAATCTTTGTTTATTTTTGCATACATATTCCTTACTTTTGAATATATTTAATGAGTAAACAAAAATTTGTTTGGTTCTGGCTCCTACCACAATGTTATGCTGACTAATGCCACAAGGAATGTTGACCACTGCCTAGGCAAAAACAAACGTAGATAAATTATTTTACTTTTCCATACTTTTGAATCTAGATCTATATCATAAGAACAAAAATAAGATTATTACTTCATTTTTGCCTATAGGCAGGGTAGCATTTTTTTATGATAGCAGCAATTTAAGGGTTAAACTTGTCATGAGCAAACATAAAAAAAAGAGGGGATTGTAAACATGCAGACTGCAAGAGCATGATTTATTCAAACATCCAGAAAATTGGATGCAGGCTATGTTGTTAGTACAGTGCCTTACGTTTTAAATCCGTTGCAGTTGGGAAGATGTACCAACAAGTGTTAATGATTGTGGATATAGAGAAAGACTAAAAATCTACAGCACGATAATAGTAAAACAGTGGTACTCATCACAAATAAGCCACCAGTTTCTAAGATATTAACACTTGAGCTACTAACTTGTGGAGGCTGGAATCTGTACGCAGCATTAGGAGCTTGCTGTAGAGCTGTGGTGGTGGTGACACTGCCCTGCATTTGGCCAGGTGCGGCCGCAGCAGTGTTGACACGTAGCAACTGGAGCTGGCCATTCTCAGTTTTGACCAACAAGTGGCCCTGTGCACCAGGAGGTAGTCCTTGTAACGCACCCAGGGTAATTTGCTGCAAATCAAACCAAGTCGTTAACCACAGACAACAAATTTCTTATTATTTAATACATTAGAATTCCAGTATAGTGTACATTAAAATATTGTACCAGTGTGTGTGTGTGTGTGTGTGTGTAATTACCTAAGTGTAGTTACAGGATGAGAGCTACGCTCGTGGTGTCCCGTCTTCCCAGCACTCTTTGTCATATAACGCTTTGAAACTACTGACGGTCTTGGCCTCCACCACCTTCTCACTTAACTTGTTCCAACCGTCTACCACTATTTGCGAAGGTGAATTTTCTTATGTTTCTTCGGCATCTGTGTTTAGCTAGTTTAAATCTATGACCTCTTGTTCTTGAAGTGCCAGGTCTCAGGAAATCTTCCCTGTCGATTTTATCAATTCCTGTTACTATTTTGTACGTAGTGATCATATCACCTCTTTTTCTTCTGTCTTCTAGTTTTGGCATATTTAATGCTTCCAACCTCTCCTCGTAGCTCTTGCCCTTCAGTTCTGGGAGCCACTTAGTAGCATGTCTTTGCACCTTTTCCAGTTTGTTGATGTGCTTCTTAAGATATGGGCACCACACAACAGCTGCATATTCTAGCTTTGGCCTAACAAAGGTCATGAACAATTTCTTTAGTATATCGCCATCCATGTATTTAAATGCAATTCTGAAGTTAGAAAGCATAGCATAGGCTCCTTGCACAATATTCTTTATGTGGTCCTCGGGTGATAGTTTTCTATCTAGAACCACCCCTAGATCTTTCTTTATCAGAGTTCTTTAAAGATTTCTCACATAATATATAGGTTGTGTGGGGTCTATGTTCTCCTATTCCACATTCCGTAACATGGCATTTATTCACATTAAATTCCATTTGCCAAGTGGTGCCCCATATACTTTCATATATAATTTCAATTAGTCCAGGTCTTCTTGAAAGGAATGACAATCATCTAAGTTTCTTATCTTTCCTATTATCTTAGCATCATCAGCAAACATGTTCATATAATTCTGTATTCCAATTGGTAGATCGTTTATGTTGACAATGAACATCACCGGTGCAAGAACTGAACCCTGTGGTACTCCACCTGTGACATTCCTCCAATCCGATACATTGCCTCTGGTTACGGCCCTCATTTTTCTATCAGTTAGGAAATTTTTCATCCATGTTAGAAGCTTACCTATCACCCCTCCAACATGTTCCAGTTTCTAGAACAACAAATATGTGGAACTCTGTCGAAAGTCTTTTTTAGGTCCAAACAGAAGCAGTCAACCCAGCCATCTGTTTCCTGTAAAATCTCTGTGGCTCAATCATAGAAACAGTAAATTCATTACACAGGATCTTCCAGGTCGAGAAAACCATACTATCTGTCTGATATTATATAATTTTTCTCCAGGTGTTCTACCCATCTGGTTCTCCACTCGTGACATTTCTCCAGTTCGATACATTGCCTCTGATTACTGCCCTCATTTTTGTCAGAAAATTTTTCATCCATGTTAGAAGCCTACCTGTCACTCCTCCAATATGTTCCAGTTTCCAGAACAATGTCTTATGTGGCAGTCTGTCAAAAGCCTTTTTTAGGTCCAGATAGATGCAGTTAACCCAACCACCTTTTTCCTATAAAATCTTTGTGGCTCAATCATAGAAATTAAGTACAGTGGTACCTCGCATAACGAATTTAATCCGTTCCATGTTCGTCATGTGAAACGGACGTCATACAAAACGAGTGTCCCCCCATGTAACCAGTGTGATGCACTGTGTTTATTGTGAAATTTCCCCAGAGTGCATGACATCAAATGTTCCCCAAAATAAAATTTTTCTTTGTAAAATGATAAATTACCGTCCCTGAACATGTCTATGTAAAAATAATTACCAAATTCCACTTACTTTGGCTGTGAGGGCGTGGACAAGGTGCGCTGTGACGTCATCAGGGGCTGGTCGCCCGTGTGTGAAGCTCCCAGACACGGTCGCGCAGGCCATTCAAGCACCGCGTGTTGCCACAAATATATTTTCAAATATTTTTTCTATGCATTTCCAATGCGGTTTTATTTGTTTCATTTATCGTATATGATGCATATTTGTGACCTTTACAATATGTATACAGTAGAATGTTCATAATTTTCCATGAAACTGTGATACATGTGTCAGTAATGTGTCCACAATAAATGTTTATTGTCACAATATTACGTGGTAAAAATTCACTAATATTACAATATGTACAGTTTCACATACTATTTACACAGTAACACACTGTATTACACACTCAGTACTTTGGAGGTGCATAATAGTCAACGAAGTAGTCCATGGTACACAGCGCGACTTTGCTCTCCTTGCACCAGCTACAGATAGATTTTTGCTTCCTGTTTCATCGTTATGTGTGCTTGCAAATAACGCACTTGCGTGCACCCTTGGCTTTAGTACTTGTAGGTGGTATGTAGCCAAGCTTGTAAAGCATAAAGTAGTATTGAAACGATTATAGGAAAAGCTCAATTTGTAAGGTAGTCTTGAAAAGATCGCTTTGTAAGGTCCCACACAGGAAGAGATTCAGCTAGCCTCAAAGAGTGTCCATCAGTCAGGAAAAGATTCAGGTATTCTTGAAAATATCAATGAACACCACCACCATGGAAGCCGCTAACACTGTTAATCTATGCTACTTGTATCAGATGCATCATCACTGAACGCAGAAAACGATTCATCTATGTATCATCTATATACATTAGAGATGGCAAGGGTGGGGCTCAGAGCTACACCTGGATACGCTTGCTGTATCATCCTCATAGGTGCTGTATCACTGGCATCCGACCGTTGTGTTAAGCCCTTATTGCGCCTAGCTTCACCAATGTTATGACCCTTATGTTCTTCAAACAAAAGGGTCTGAATTGCACCGACTGAGCACAGTCTTTCAACACCGTGTGGGACAGGTGTTTGAGAGCCAGAGGCACGTGTGCCACAAATGGTTGCTCACGCAGTACTAACCCAGCCAGCAGCCCTTGTCTTTCATATTCGTTATGGCAAAAGGTTCGTTCAGTTTTTGTTGGGTAGGCTGCTCCATTATGACAATCTTTCTTTGTTTCAAATGTGTTCCATTTGTTTTGTATTTGTCACTTACGTCTCAATAATGGAGCAGCCTACCCGACAAACACTGAACGAACCTTTATGACATTTGTCCATTTTTCAAATTGTTTCAACAGTTCTTTTATTTTTCGTTTTTTTTTTTTTTTTTAAGAAACATGGAGCAGCCGACCTGTAGACCACCGAACGAACCTTTTTGACATTTGTACTGGTTTTCAAAATTCTTCATTTTTTTTATTATTTACGTTTTTTGTATGTAAGAAACATGGAGCAGCCTACCTGCCGACCACCGAACGAACCTTTTGCTATAAGGCAAATGAAAAATAAATATTGAACACATTTGAAGAAAGGAAAATGTCATAATGGTTTATTCAGTGTATGTAAGGTAGGCTTCTCCATTATTGAGACGCAAATGACAAATAAAAAACAAATGGAACACATTTGAAACAAAGAAAGATTGTTATAATGGAGCAGCCTACCTGCCGAACACCGAACGAACCTTTTTGACATTTGTTGTATATCAGACATTTCATTTCTTTTTTCCTACAAAAACGTCAATGCTTTGCAACATCTCAGTAGTCACCCTTTTATATCCCAGCATCATTAGCATCTTTAAACAAGAACAACATAATTTATGTGCATCGTCGGAGGCGTCTAAGAATGTGCAAGAAGCAGCGCGACCCCACCATGTGGTGTTGACGTTACTCAAACCAGCGTTCGTCATAAGGGACGATTTGACGCCGATCGGGCCGTTCGTTACCCAAAATATTCGTCTTTTGGGGCAATCGTTATGCGAGGTACCACTGTATATTCATTACACAGGATCTTTGAAATAAAAAACCATAATACACGTATCTGTCTGTTATTATATCAGTTTTCGCCAGGTGCTCTACCCATATAATTTCAATTATTTTTCCAATATTTAGAATATTACACTTGTCAATGATACAGGTCTATAATTGAGTGGGTCTTCCCTGCTGCCACTATTCGAGATTGGAACTATAATAGCCTTTTTCCACACACCTGCTACAACTCCTGTACACAGGGATGCCTGAAAAATCAGTTGAAGTGGAATGCTGAGCTCGGGTGCACATTCTCAGAACCCATGGTGAAATTCCATCTGGGCCAACTGCTGTACTTTGTTCTTAGCTCCTTGAGCATTTTTTCCACTTCCGTCTCTAAACACCTAAATCTAAATCCATAGACTGGGAAGCATGTGAAGCTAAAACAGAAGATTTCTGGACCTGTAAATTTGTAGACCTCATCCTGGAAACATTCTTGTATCAACATGTTAAACAAGCTACCCGGATGAGGGAAGGGGACGTCCCCTCCATGCTAGATTTGATATTTACCAGGAAGGAGGAAGAAATATTTGACATTCAGTACCTTCCTCCCTTGGGTAAAAGTGACCATGTCTTTTTGGGAATAAAGTATGCAATGCGTTATAATCTGGAAGAAAATATGACGGTCGATGCAAATGAAAAACCTGACTTTAGGAGAGGACATTATAGCAACCTTAGAAATTTTTTTAGTGAGTATAATTGGACAGACTTGTTGCTAGGCAAGGAAGTCAATGAGATGTATGTAAGGTTTTGTGAAATATATGATAAAGGCACAACAAAATTTACACCAAAACAGAGAAGCAGAACTAGGAAACAGGATTGGTTCAACAGAAAGTGCGAGAGGGCCAGAGACCAAAAGACACAAAAATGGAATCAATACAGGAAGAGGCCGAACCCCCAAACATACCAGTGATACAAAGATGCGAGAAACAACTACACGGCAGTGAGGAGAGAGGCAGAAAGAAATTTTGAAAAAGGGATTGCAGACAAATGTAAAACAGAAACAGGTCTATTCCATAAATTCATAAACAACAAATTGCAGGTAAAGGATAATATTCAGAGGTTGGAAATGGGAAATAGATTCACGGAAAATGAAAAGGAA